AATTCTAATATGTCCATTGAAATGTTAATAAACAATTCATAATATTATTTTTAAATATATTTCTTTATAATGAAAATAAAATATAGAATGAAAAAATGAAACTCAAACAGTATATTTATCGCAATGTTCATAAATAATATATACGACTACGTTACTGGAATTCAATAGTATAAGAAAATCGAATAAGTAATAATATTTTAAAATCTGACATATTTTATGGGTGCTTTTAACGAATAACGAGTTGGCCATCCTGATATATTTATAGAGTGTGTTAACTAATTTGTAGATGACTTCTAGAAATAATTGATTTAATACCTTATAACATAACTACTAACGAATTAATCACTCCGAAAACACTAAAGTTTATGCTTAATACTATAACGTATCTATCTTTTCATTAAATAGTTTAAAAAATGAATTTTTTTTTTATAAAGTAAAAGCAACTTATCAAATTTTATAAGAAAGACACAAAAAACTTGCTATTTTTATTTTTCAAAGTTTAATTTTATTTTTAATATTTTATTTTAATAAAGAAAATCAATGATTTATTGAAGTAAAAGTTGAATATTTGATTGAGTTATTTTTATAAACAAATTACTAATTTTGTAAAAGGGAAATATATCGTTATGTAAATTATGAAATTATGTGTGGTTTTGTAAAATACTAAGAAAAAACTGGTATCCAATAAACATTATGAATCAATTGAACTGTTCATAAAAAAATTTATTAAAGATTTACAACGACCATAAACTGAATAAAATAAAAAGTAATAACATAATATGTAAGGAAAGTAAAAGAAACGATGTACTAAAACGAATAAATTCATATTTTGCTTACCACGCGTGGATACTCCTGAATCTAAACGAAAATAAAGATTAATGAATAAAATATTTTTTCTATAAAACTTATTGGCCGTCGATTTATTTTTATCTGTATAGACTATTTAGATATTTTAAAGGATTGTATTTTTACGGTGAATTGTATAATACAATTTAATTCCGAGACTAAATTAACAAACACAATTTATCGCAATTTTTAATTAAAATATAATGCTTAAATTAATAAGTACGTGAAAGACTTAGTTGTACTGCATATTTAAACTTTTTACTGGTAACAATCAACTTTTATAATACCTCGAGAGTGTATCTACGAATGATGTTTATCAAAATTAGAATGATTGTCTTAATAACTTCAGATTCTATAGTATAGATTATTAATAAAATGCTCCCCTATGAAAAGTAATAAGTATTGTTTGATTAGATTTGAGTTAATTAATCCACGTGTTGAAACGACATGTTACTAGTTAGTAATATATAACATAAAACAGATTTTTTTATATTTTCTACTAAACTTTGAACTTAATACCTATTATATATTTCATGCGTGAGATATCATCATACAAATATATTAATAATTTCATATAAGTAAAAGTGATAAATAGTGGCATACGGAAAGTAATGGCCAAAGTATATTATTTAATTAGTGACTCAGAATTTGAAATACTGAAAAATTTATGAAAAAACATCTGAGAACTTCACTACTTTATATGAAAGCAAGGTAAAGAATTTAAGACCACAGGAATGATTAAACATGATAAACATATATGTTAATACGGATTAAATTATTTATGATTATTTAAAATGCATACGTGTTAATTGTTAATAAAAAAATGTTAAATAATTCAATATTTTTCTAATCTCTGTATTGGTCATTATAATAATAATATATTTTACGATTAATAAAAATAAATAATATGGAATAAAATTAATTTAATTAGATACTTTTTTCTTAGGCAACTTTATTTATTTTAACAACAAATATAAATTAACATATTATAATACAAAAATTTAATAATTTAGTTTAGTAATCATAATATGGATGCTTGTTTATTAAAATGTACTAATCTTAAATTATGAATGCCGTCTTTATAATATTTAATCAGAGATCAAATTTCCATGGTAGATATAATCGACTGCATATAAAAACTGAACAAGATAATAAACAAAATAGGTATTTTAAACTAATAATTATTATTATTACTTCAATTTTTCATGTTACAACCATGCAAATTTTAACGTTGTGTCGTGGACCGAAAAAGATCTAAATAAGCAAAATAATATTTCTGATATTGTTGATTTTGCATTTGCTACAACTGCCAAATAATATACGCAATGTGTGTATTGTAAATACATGATATATTGCACATTATTTTGCGTACCATCAGAACTTTCTAGTCATATTATGAGTGTTCGCTTTGTACATACGTAAATCATCGTAACATGGAAAATCTGGAACATTCATTAAAACGATGTGTTATGATAATTTGTGCGCATTGGACCCAATAATGCATGTTATGTATAATATACTTACTCAAATTTGATCGAAAAACCATTCACATATGCACTAAATATGCGGGTATTTATATGATATAATGATATTATATTCAGAAAAGAATGTAAAGCATCGCTGAATATACTTAAAGTTTACATCATGATATTTACTTACATAAATAAACAAATATGATAAAACAATATTTAATGATAATATAGGTTTATACATATATGTACAAATATTATTTTAAGCCTATTAGGTTATTTAGAAAAAAACTGTATTACTCTTACATTTACAATGATTTAGTGATTTTTTTTTTTTTTTCATTAACAAATAATCAGTCTATCAAAAATTTCAAAAAGTATTTTGTGAAATCGACATGAATTTAAAAATTAATATGTTGCTTTATAAATTAAATATAAAATGTATCACGTATGCCATGTTTTTAATTCTATAGGGATTATTCCAAAATGCTTTAAAAATTTATGTCACAATTTTGTAGTTAGGTACCAAATATCTGAAGACCAATTTTAAAGTTTGATCAAATAATTCTTAAAAGGAATGGATTACCTAGTACTACTTTACCGATTGCATGAAGCTTTTGAAGATTGAATATCGATTATTGATTATATTAATTTGCATGCGTACTTTTTTGAAAATGTCTCTCAGTAGTATGTTTAAGGAAAACATTTCTTATATATATATATATATAAAGATTAATTTTAAGACATGATTTATTTATACTATGAACCTATTTATGTTATTTTACAGTAAAGTAGTATTAACACAAATATTAATAACAATAATTAAAAATAAGTATCTAATATAATAAATACGATGTTTTCAAGAAAAAAATAAATAAGACGCCATAAAACTAGTAGTAAAACAAATTACTTTTTGAAAATATATTAAAAAACTCATTAACAAATGTACTTAGTAATTTAGGTAAACAGACTATCTCTGCTCAAAATAATTTTTGCATACTAAAATATGAATTATTATGATTGAATTCAAATTTAACTTATCCATTTCAAAGACCTATCCGATTTCTACTATAAAAATTAACAGTATCAACTTGTCCATTTTTTTCAAAATGTATTTTAACCCATTCATTGATTTTTTTATTTTGTATTTTTTTTTTTTTTTGCTAATAGCTTTTAGTCGGTGACTATTTCAGGATTTTTGTATTATTTAACAATTAATTTCAGCTACTAGGATAATTAGGATAATTAAATAAGTATTTACAATTTTTTATAAATATCTATTCGTTTTTAAATAAAAGTTGCTTATACTTTTTGCATACTTATTTGTATAACCATATATCTACCTATAATATAAATATTATATTTGTCTGAAATATATTATAGGTACCAAATTTAAGTTTTATTAACATACGCATTATATTCATATATTAATATATTAATATAAATTGGTATTTACTTAATAAATATTTTTCTGATATTTCAAGTGAAAATATTATTTAATTGGGCTTACGAACTTAACTTAAATAACAATACTAAAAGTGAAACCGAAGATGTATAACTACTCATGTTTACTGAGTTCGCTGTTTTTATCGGCTTAGTTGTAATCTCATTTTATAGTTTTTATGCGTAATATGGATGCTTATACTTACGCATGACCTAAAAAAATGAGTAGCCACTTTACATTTTTATTATATTATTTACATAGATAGATACTCTGATACCTGTAATTATATTATTTTGGTACATCAAATAAAATAATCTTTCAATTTTTATTTTTATACACAAAATTTGAGTACAAGTTGTAGGTTTATTTGTTTTTAAAATTTAAAATTATCTGTATAAAAAAAATACATATCAGTAAATAATGATGTTATAATTGAAATATTATTGAATAAATTTATATTTGAATAAATACTCTAATAGTTATTAATATATTTTATAATACTATAAAATGAAGAATTTATTTTTACGTTAACAGTAAATATTTATAGAACTTTTTGATTTTTTTAAACAATGAAATTTTTGAATTTGTTAGATTTTATTTTAATGACAATAACAGTCTTTTGTCCAGTAAAAGAGTTTAAAAATGTAATAAAAAATTTCACAAAAGTTATTCTAATATTTGTATAAAAATTTTAATTAGAATTTTGAAGAAATTGCACATCTAAACGATAAATAACGGTTTAAGATATTTTTTGACGATTCAAAAACTTAATTTGTGAAAACTTCAAACATAAAGCTTGGAAATAAAGGAATGCTTTTAAGTTATTATTATATCTATTTGAAAAATATTAAAGATCCTATAATGTTATGCATATTATTTTTTAAACATTTGAAGTTCAAATATTAATAGGATTTGCCAAAGACATGAATGTTTGAAATTTTTAAATTATTTTGTAGATAACACTTTGTAAATTTTTAATTTTTATAGCTAAAACTTGAACATTTAAAACGAGTTTTCTGTTAAGTATTTTCTACTAAAACCACAAAATTAAAATAATTTTTTTTTAGAAATTGTAAGTTGAAATTTGTATTGTATTACATATTTAAATGAAGAATTATTTTGTTGATTATTTTGTAATAACTTAAAGACTTAATTCGTGAAATCTTAAAATGCTTGCGCATGATTGTAGTATGCATTTCATTATGTATTATTCCATTTTTAAGATATGCAGATTGATTTATTGATTTTAGTATATTAAATATTTAAATTATGAACATATTAAGATTGTTTTATCGTTTTACTCGTATGATATGATGGTATTACTTCATGCTTTTATATCCTGTAACACAGTGGTTTTCAACCGGTGTGTCGCAGCATACTGGTGTGCCACGAACGCCTTTGAAGTGTGCCGCGATAAATCTATTAATGGAGTTAATATTTTATAAATATATATGTATTATATATAAAAGTATATACTTCACGTATTATATGAATTGGTATACCGCAAACATTTTGTAGAAGAAAAGAAGTATGCTACATTGTTAAAAAGGTTGAAAACCACTGCTGTAACATAACAACAAAAAATTTATTATTAATTATATAATATAATATATTGTTAAAATAGTTAATATTAATAATAAAATAAATTCCATATTTTTCGTAAAAATTAAATCGACCTACCTTAATAATATTAGTGAAATAAATTACATTAATTGCAATATCAGAAAAAAAAAGTTCCATAAAATATACTTAGTGATATAAACTGACGAATCTTCACCCAGAATCGATTATTGTAATAATAATATATCAATAAATTTATGTTTAAAATATTCATTGCAGTGACCCACTCGATACCTCTTATTTAGCAGAGCACCCAGAATTGTATCCACTTTTATACTTTAAAAATATAAAAAAAACTCAAACATAAAAGCTTAATTTTTGTCATTAAGACCGTTTTACTACGACTGGTTTATTTACCCTTTGTTTGCACGCAGTGATTGTGGGTTTAGTCATTACGCACCAAATGAATAAAAACAGTCTCGAAACAGACACGGCAGATTAACACGTATTTATACACTGCTGGACAATAGAATCAAACATAAAAATTGCGTAAAATTATTTTCGTCGTTTGTGAACGCATTTAACAAAGGCTAATGGCTCGAAGGGGGGCGATATTAAAAAAAGTGAGTAAAATAATAATCAAAGACACAACGAAATTAAAAAATAAACTCTAAACTCGTGGACAACGACGACGAAAGGGTTTTTTTTTAATGTTTCAAAGAACGTTTCATCATTAGCAAAAACATTGGTATTAAAAAAAAAAAAAAAAATGGAATCGAAACCTTAATGCCCGTCGTGTTCTTTTGGTGGGGCACCAGATGGTTAATTTCCCAGCCAACATGATAAAATAAACGAATTTTGTGTGATTACTTTTTCTCCTTGTCACTCACCTTACCTTACTGTGGCCCGTGAGAATTTATGATGCACTTGATAATATACGTCTAAGGATTATTTCCATTTGAAGATCTCTCGTTCCTTTTTTTTTAATATTGGAATTAAATAAAGATCTAATCTAACACATGAAGTGGTGATTAGTGCAGTATATATTACTAAAATGTAGATAAATATAATCTATGTGTATAAGTATGTGTGTGTGTTTGTGTGTGCAATTACGTTGCAGAATGTACAAACTAAGTGTGTAACTGACACTGAATATAAGTTGTTGCAAAAGCTAACACGTAAACATTATTGCTAAATTATATTGATATTAATGTTTAAGAAACAGTTACAAATTAAAATTACACCTTTTTTAATATAATGGTGTGTACAAAAATTTATAAATTAACTGCTGAAAATTAATATTCTACTGTGACTTGTAATCTGTACTTGTTTTGTTTTGTTTATATAAATAAATTATTTTACAAACATACTTGTAGTATAAAAATAAAAAAAATCATAAATTAGTTATAACTTCTTTACATCGCCAATTAAATATATTTATGCAATTTATTCAATTTTCACCAGGTAGAAATATCAAAAAGGTAAAAAACAATAGTTATAAATACAATTTAAATATTTACTATATAATTCAGTATCAACTAAGAATCTTATTGGATCTACACTAATATTATTAGTTATATTTTATAATTTAAAAAACTGTTATTAGATGTTATAGGAATACAATAAAAGTAAAATAATAAATAAAAATACGTATTAGTTTAAAAACCTTATTTCAATTTCCATTTATACTGAGATAATATGATGTAAAAATCAAATAATTTAATAACTAGAGACAACTTTTAAAAACAATTTAATTTATTTGAATTTTAAATGACAAAGAAAATATATTTATCGTACGGATTATGTTTTATTTATTAAAAGACGTCTTAAACAATTTAAAGAATAACCACCAAAAGTTGTTTGACAATTTTGAACCAAGAAGAAATCTCAATAAGCTCGGTTTTGCGTAAGTTCCAATCAGCACTGTTTTTCACTTTTTTAACTACGACAATTTATTATTGTTTCCAAATATATAATAACTAAACACAGAGTTATTCAAAACCAAAATAAACGAAGAAAATTAATTGGCTAATAGAAGAAAGTCAATCAGCTCTTTTAATGATATTGTGATATTATAATTTTTTGTTTTTAGAATGAGATATTTCAAACTTAATTTGTTATTAATATTTAAAATGCTTTTTCAGAACTGAATATAACTTAATTTTTTATGTGTTATTAAAAATTCATAAATTAACATCAATATTTTGAAATTTTGAAGTTGACATGCCGTCTTTGATAATACTTTATTAATACTATAATATATAGCATGAACAATTTAAAATATATTCGATTTGTATTGTAAATAATTTGAGTTTGATTTCTGATATGGATTTTTGCAACCTTATCGAACCTTCCGGTCGTAGATTGAATACAATTTAATAAGTAACAACGTGATGTTACTACAGAGATTATCGTCGGTATGAATTTATTAACAATTTGAACAAGTAAATACAATTTATATTACTGCCATGTCGATATTTCAAAACTTATATTATTTTATATCATGTTTGTATCACATAGACAGTAAAACCTTAAACGATGAATCAAAAACAGCTATTGATATAATGATTCCAGTGCAATACATATAATATTATACTTCAAATTTTAATCACCATATAGTTGTTATTCGATGTCATATTGTTATATTTTCATTTGTCGTAGTATTAAATTTCCAAGTACATATAAGACGCTACTATTAAGAGTGGAAACACAGTCTTTATTTTTTGGATTTAACTTAAGTGTTTTTAACTAAAATTTAAAATATTTGATGAACATTAATTTAATATTTGGTGCTTAAAGTCTACTTTAAAAGCAAGTGATCTTTATTTTTTAATTTGGTTCGAGGTAAAATGTTAAATTTACGTCCAGTGTTATCAAACCTTATTATATTATGTACCACGTGTTTGTCTTTTGAATAGAATAATTTGCGTTTGATTTTTTTTTTTTATTTCGACACACTTCAATAAACACAAATTTACATTTTTCGAAAAACAAACCTCAAAAATTATTTATAAATATTCATAAATTGTCTTATACAGGGTCCAGGTAAAATGTTAAAATGTGCATTACCATAATATAACCATTAAAAAGCTATGGGGTGGTAATATCATATAGGAAAATATAATAATGTCGTGAGGTCGTCTGCATAATATACATTACAACATATTATGTACATAGTACATGGTACATTTCTAGTGTATCTACTTATGATATATTGTGTAATAAATCACTCGTTGTTTGAAATAATAATACGGACATCTAATGTTCTTCAATCATAGAAATAATTTTATCACATAACGCCAAAACATTAAATATAATTTATGTCATTACATAATACGTGTTTCATTTAGGTATTTGTATTTTATTTAATATAGATTCTTCTGCGGTCTAGAGTTAATCTAAAATTAAAATTATAAGGAAAGTATGAACTAATAACTGTAAAAGTGAAAATAATACACATTTTTAATTGATTTATTTTTTGTAAATGAAAAATATAATTTTATAATCTAAAAGAATGGAAATAAAAATAAGACTACTGGTTTTTTTCCTAAATTGTAAATACATATATATAATATACCACATGACTATATAAATTAAGTTTTCCAAATCATCTAACTTTATATTTGTTCACATTTTTAATTATTGCATAATACCTATTCGTACTTGATGTTATATTAAATTTATTGAAGAAGTAATAAGTGTATTATAATACTTTTATCAGTAATATGAACAATTGACTAAAAAAAATATACATATATATTTATTTTGTATCTTGTATGTATAGTGTTAAAAAGTTATTATTTATAAATCGTAAAAGAAACGTGAGTAAGGTAGCAGTGCTTAACAAAATCACGTTAAACTAATACACTACCTATATTTTTATAAAATTACAACTAAAGTGTTATAAAAGTTGATAAAAAAAAATTTTTTATTTTTTAAAAAGTAACCAAATTAGCTACTTTGCTAATCTTTTTAATCACAGTGACCACTTTTTTTTCTTTATTCATAAATTAAAACAAAAATTCAGATATTTGTTTAAATACCTATTTTAAAATATAATATTTCCATCACCAAATAATTTGTAGTAAAACTGGTTATATAGCGCATAGAGACATTTGTAGATGTCAAAAAATGAATTTAGATATATTAATTGCTGGGGTACGTAACGACAGCTGTATAACAGCTATTTATTTTGCATTATTAATCGAAAATGGCATATTATGTTTTATTATTATAGTGGTTTTATAACCAATAGAAATAATAACAAGAAATACCATGCATGTGATTTAAACGGCTGTTCATTTTTTATGATCGAAAAATAATTTATTACCAGTTTATACACTATATAGACACATTGTACACTTTTTAATTAATATTTTTTTCTATTAGTAAAACTATATTTAAATTGACCATAAACAATATATTTTATTAATATTATGTGAGGTCTATTTAAATATGCTTTTAATTGAAACCTTAACTAATCATACACTAATATTCTATAGGTACCTACTATAAAATATGTAATTACTTTTAAAATTCGATTAAATAACTTTAGAATATAAATAATAGAATGTCTGCATTTAGTTATATCATTCTTGTATAGTATTTTAACTTAAGTAAAACGACAAAAAAGCAATAGTATACTTTTGAACTTTAGAAATTAATTAAATAAAAACTACTCAATCGATGTTATACTACAGTTGTTTATAAATGTACAATAATGTGGATTTTTTCCATAAGTCTTAAATTAAATTCTCATTGGTTGCAATTAATTGCAATATTGTAAATGTATTTCTGATTGAAAAATAATTTCATAAATGTGTGTGTGTGTGTGTGTGTGTGTGTGTGTGTGTGTATAATAACCGAAGTGATTAATTTGACATAAAACATTTATTTTAAGTGTCTCATGTTGAATGGATCACCGTAAATATTAATATACATATCTTTTTTTTTAATAAAAAAAACTATTTATAATAACTTTTATAAGCTTTAAAAATCATCATACTTCAATCTAAATACACACCCATTACATAATTAAAATTAATTACTTTTACAGTGAAACAATAAAATAACTCAACTACTTAACATTAAAATATAATGAATTTATTAATGACAGCTAGTAAATTTACTTAATCACTACGAAATGAGTCGAAAAAAACTTTGTTAATTATTTTTTATTTACAATATCGAAATTATGAGTTCATTGAAATATCAGAATGTAAGAATGTTAAAAAAATTCAATCAATTTTATAAATCGCGTGTTTATATGTATAACTTTTATGAAACGTTTAAAGTGATTATCTATTTTATGTTTGTTATCAAATTTGTCATGTGAAATTCGTAATACTTTACCATTGAAACACAACCTTCCTGAGGAGTAAGAGTTTATATTGCATTTGTGTGATTTTGAAGTAAGAATTATTTTATATTGGACCGTTGGTCATCTCATTGTAATATAGCATTATTCCATAGAGAATTATATGTTGTTCTTGGTTGCTCGAAACTTGTCAGGTTAAGTCCAGATCATTTAGACAATACAATTAAAAGTTACTCTGGTTATAATAACCAACCCTAAAGACTTTCAAGTTCAAATTCCATTTGTTTAAATTATAATTAAAAATACAAGAGTATATAACAAAAATAAAGTTATAGAATATTATAATGAAT